CCATTTTTTATATTATTTGTTCTCGCCATGGTTGTTAAAAGCGATTTTAAATACAGACTCATTATTTTTTTTAATTTGTAATAGTGGAATGGTTTGAGAGCGTTTGAAAATAAATAATAGGTAGTTATTTAGTTATTTATTTATTTATGTCATCATATTGACCATTATAACAGAACTTATAAACAAAATACAATAGTGGTAATTCAGGCGTGGACCATGGAAATAGTCCTTATGGACTAGTCCAGTCCATGGCCCAGACTGCCAAGTAGAAATTTATAATTTACGAGTAAAGGAAAGGAAAATTACTATTTACACAACGAAAATTAAAAGGTAATCTTTATGATTTAGATATAAATATGACTAGAATATTATGTGCAATAATAATATAAACAAACTACTGGTACAACGAATTTATATGCAGAATAAAAGAAACAAAAATTGCAGAGAAATGGAGGTAATCGAGGAATTTAACAAAAATAATGTTTCATTTCATATTTAAATTTGTTTCTGTTTCTGTTTCTGGAAGTGAATTCCAGTGTTTTGCTGCAGCAAATTTAAAATTATGTTGTGAAACTGTAAGTTGAGTTACCGCTACACACTGAACTTGTGGGATAGCAATGTGTGTAATAATAAAATAACATACTGACTATCGAGAAGTGGAAAAGTCTGAACTTGAATATCACTGTGAGTTCACCAATTTTAATGAAATAACAGAAAATGGCTTGCATAAGATATCCTGTTGGTAATCCTGGGAAATATTGATTTAAATTGATAATTCGAGAAATTTATTTTTATGGTCATTTATCACCAAATTTCTGTAATTACACTAATATGCGTATAGATAATTACATTTATCAGATTGCATTAATCTACAGCGTAAATGATTATGATTACGAAGTTTAACAATTTATCACTTTTCAGTGTTTTTGCTATTGTCAATGAACGACATGAATTTGATTACAAACCACCTATTGTTTTTGTATTTTGCTCTTCCGATTAGGCGTTATGGTAATGATAACAAGTCAAATATTTGTTTGGTCTGACACTTAAACAAACAGCGCCGACAATATAATGAATAATTTTAAAGAAATGTTGTTTTCGACTACTACTTATTTATCAAATATGATGTGTGATATGATTGTTAATATGAAAATCAATGCCTGTAGAAAGAGTAAGTTTAATGCTTGTCTCATCGCACAGGCGTGTGGCGACGAGAACTAGTCCTCCAGAATTAATAATACACTTCCCAGGGCACGGATTTGGCTGAAATGGATTGGGGTTGGCATGAAATAATTGGAACATATGTTTCAACTTGAATGAACTCAAATCACACGCGCTAATGTGAAACATCATAATAATGATATATGGGAGAAATCTAAAAACATATAATAACAAAGCAAAAACTTTGCAAACATACTTGCTTTAACATTTGTCTGTAGTACTTGTTCTATTTTGAAGCACACTGTTAAACATCTGTAAAGAAAAGTATGTTTTTTAATATTAATCCTATTAACAGACACATCAAATCCGTAACAGCACTACAATTTTCAACAAGTTTATTCGTATTTTGCTTCAAGTTATTGAGTTGAAATATTTGAACATCGTATTATCTAGTATTACCGTTACGGCACTGGGGAACGCTAAAGAAACTACGACAAAATATTTGCATTATAATTCTCGCACAATTCATTAGGTAGCATTTTAGTGTTGACCAATCACAGTCGTTGTTACTGTATTCATTTTAACACCAATATTCGACTGAGGCTATATATATGAGCAGCCTTGCTGCATGTATGCAGTTTTAATTGGTGTTCAGATGAGTGTTCTGTACCAGCATTACTGGCTAGTTTTATAAGTTAATAAATCTGTTGATAGCAAATCAACTTTAAATCATGGTTTATTTGTAATTACCAATGTTAAATTATTTTCGTGTGTTTGACATTTTTCCTTTAGCTACTTGAACCTATGCTTCAACATTTTCGTACAACACTGCGTAATATAATGCCTCATATGTAGGGACAGTGTCGCATCCTCGTAGCACTCTTCTTTATAGAATATCGTCTCCATGATACAATGTCTGTAAATAGGGTTGGTATTACGAATTAGGTTAGCAGTTGTGTGGTTGGTATTAATAGATTCGATCGTTATTATAATGAGGTTAGTGTTAAAATAGTGTTGATCGTTACTACAAAATAGTTTGGTATTACTGATAGGGGTGATCGTTAATACAAATATAGATGGTATTACAAGGTGGTTTGTTATTAGGAATAAGAATGGTCTTACAATTGCTATTATTAGAAAATGAGTTGGATTGATGTCATTAAAATAAGTTCATCATTATTTAAATTAGCGTTGGAATTGAAATACAGTGGGTTGTTACTAGTGCTAGGGTGTTATTATTATGTCGGTCTTACATTGTGATTCCGTACATTTTATTTACAAAAGAACTTATAATTTTGGGTTTTCAACATTGACTTGTCATCCGACCGTCGTCAATGCTAAATGTGAAAAGCATCGTGTAATTTGATCATGCGTCAACCTGTAACGCAGACAACTCGACCAATTTCAACAGTACCTCGATAACATTTATGAAAGCATAAATTAAATTTTGCGAATTGTCCATGGGTCTTCGAGAAGTCTTAATATATAGTTTTTATATTGTTTGTAATTGCATATATGATATTTCATTTTATTGAATAGAAGCTCCTCCATTTTAAGTTCACATCATTCTCGCCGCCGATTCGCGATGATGCTTAATGAAAAAGCATGGCCTGTTCTGAATGAAAACTAAAAACAACGGAGAAAATAGATTTAATTTCTGGTCAAATAGGACATACTACCTACAGAATATACCGAATTCGAATTTACAATGGGTAATGTAATAGCAGGCGAATATTTAATTGTAATAATCAAGCTATTCCACGTTATCTATACGTGACAAGTAGCAATGCATTGTCCAGTGTGTATGATTATTATAAGAGAAGATTGTGAAATAGCAAGTATCTACGTCTACATTATTTGGTAGTAAGGTGTTCCTTGTTCACAATCCGTTTTGTAATGAAAATATACCCGCTCCAGACAGTATTAAATATCCCAAATTAATGATGACAAAATAAGTAATCTAAAATTATATTAACAAAAGACACAATCAAGGCAAACGAGACATTCTTGCGATTTATATTAGAAAAATTGCAAATTAAAAAAATGAGAAAATGTGTACTATGTGGACTTGAAAGGCAAGTCATATATACTCATATATGATTATGATGCAGTTTTCATCAAGAAATATGCAGCTGAATAATCTGTTTATTCTGTTTTACATAAATCAATTCCCCGCAACTTTACAGCAACATTCTTCCCTCTCCTGCTTATGGGGTATATATTTTCCGAACCTGTAGTGTACATATGCTGGTTTTTTAATCGATTTCGTCTTTGTTCATCTAAATTTTGTATCAAGAGTTGTGTAGAAATGAGTAGGTTTAACATTCGAGAATTTGTTTTACCAGATACAGAAGCCATTGTATTATATCCCATAATGGTAAATGTCGAGTGCCACATGTGGAGCAGGAAGTGATCAATCATTTCTAAACACTATCACACATGTTTCTTAGTGTACAAATCAATTTTTTTTTCTGTCGGATGTTGTCAATTGCTCTCAGTCATTTGTTTGACTTTAAAATGTTTGTTTACAACAATTTTTCCACGGACATTCTATATTTGATTGTGAGAGTCGTGGTTGAATGCTGCGTCCAAGCGTAGGAGACTTAAACGTGTTGATCCCCGTTTGTCGCTCATTTGCTGGGACACAAACTATTATTGGCAATCCGCTCCGCTAGGATTGGCCTTAAAATTACTTAGTGTGTTTGTGTGTGTGTGTGATTTCCAGTGTTTTCACGTATTGATTCTTCTGTGATTTTTTGGGGTTGGTCGATTTCGCTCAAAATTGGCAGGTAGGTCACATCGCCATCCTAGTATTTAGGAAACATCTGAAAAAAAAAGATTTTTGGATGGTTTCGCGATGGGGTAACTGTTCACCGGGAAAGGCATTTTAACTCTTCTGTGATTTTATTGGCTGGGCCGATTTGGTTCAAGCTTGGCAGACAAGGCACACCTTCACTCTAGTTAGGTTGTAAAATCTGAAAATTGTGGCCCATCGTTTTCATAGCAACAGCCAAAAAAATAAATACTTTCTCGCCAAATTTATCTCACCCTACAATTCTAGGATTAAAAACACGGAGGTAACTCATTCTACTCAGCTTGAGTGTTGGAACAAATTAACTGTTTTTTATGTATATTTTCATTACAAAGACAATTGACCTCGGAGTTGGGGTAACTTTTCACCAGCAACGGCTATTAACTCCTCTGTGATTTTTCGGCTTGGCTGATTCTGTTCATACTTGACAGGTAGGTCGTACCCTCACTAATTGAAAAAAAATCTTTGCCCATTACTGCCATTGCAACAGCCAAAAACTTATTTCTGAATATTTACGCCCCAGATTTATTACTCCATACCAGTTTTGTAATAGCAGTGTTCAAATGATCATGCTTTTTTTCGGCTAAGTTGCACAAAGACCAGAGATCACCGGCTCTGACATTGTTACACTGTATCAACGTAATCCCAGCGCAACTTTGAACTTTGAATGAACTGTGAATGCTGCCTTCAATCTAGAAAATACCATCGCAAAACAGTTGGAAATAATAAATTTAACAACAGAATACGTCTTAGCAATAAAATAAAGTGACTTCTAAAGACTGAATGTTTTGTTTGCGAACTTTGTATACGGTGCTCGGTTTTAGTTATAAACCGACGTTAGCTTCATGTTCATTTCCTAACATGGCAACAGCCAAAAACTTATTGTTTGTTTTTTGAGCGGCGTGGATCGCCAACCAGCATACCGGCCTGTTTTTTAAAATATCAGTCGATTTTTGTGATATGACTTTCCACCAACAATACGTGTGGACGACTGATGGCGAATGTTGACACTAGATGCAGTCAATCGTATTTGAAACTTAAACGTGTGCTTTTCACGTCTTTTTATTGAACTAACCAAGCAATAGAATATATCTTCTAATTTCCCCCTAAAAGTAATGTATTATTCACGTGTTATAGGGTCATTAAATTCCATACTGCAATCAATACTGCTTATATTCAAACACCAGCAGAAAATGTTGACAGATTTCCAAAACGGATAAAACTGTTGCCACACCTGTCTTTTCACGAGTTGTTGGATTCCTAGTCTCATCTATAACATGAACATATAAAATGAATTAGCCTTACAAATTTGAGAATACTGAAATGAAAATTACCATCGTAATACCTCAAAGTATCTGATTCCAAGCTCAAATACATCTATTTCGTAATTCAAGAGATGACGTGGCTGCCATTAGAGTGGTTTAACTGATCTAGCCATGCAATATTTTGGGGAGGGGAATGGAACTACGTGCCGATTTTCAGACCAGTCGCACTGAAAACCAATACATATGAGAGATCAGAATTATTTTATTTTTGTAAATTTACTAGTATAAACATACATGCAACATGCATGATGTAAAATGGTTAATTAAAGCACACATGGGTAATAAATGCTCTAATTCAGAAAGATGACGATGAAGCTATGTGACTGAACTGAAAATGTTGTGACCATATATGTCAACTATCAAGTTGATCGGTTAACTCACTCATGGAAATCAAGTGTCCTGTTGTTGTCACATTTCTTTCAAGAAAAGCTCCTACTATACTATCTACATGCGCAATAACGAATTGATTGATTATGGAGACAATAGTTATTTTTTTTTTGTATTCAAGCAAAGAAACGCAATATATGAAATCTGTAAACTATAGAACGATATTGCTTCAAGACAATTTCCTTTAGATAGTTGCTAAAATCAATAATTTGAATTAATATTTTTATTGCTTCCACAAAAAAATAGATTTTCAAGCGTTGATTGCTGCTTTCCAAGAAAGAATCATGGCAACAGACAGCATGTGATCGCTACAGATTTTATTGGAAATTGTTGTAGCAGATGAAACACAGTTTATATCCAAAAAATCCCGTCGTCTAGACCTCAAAAAGCTGGTGCCAGACAATGAGAACAACACACTTTAAATAACAATATCTACCAAACTGTGAGATCGATCGCCATTTTGAAATGGACCGCATTAACACATGAAGTATGAGGCTACTAGTTTAGGCTATTTTCTCAAACGACCTGACGAAACTGGTTATAAAAGAAAAATATAACAGGGCCTAGTCCCGGAGCATGAGGTTCAGAAACGTTATACAGAAAAATACAACTTACTTTTTGCCAGTTACTTTCCAGCTTTCACTAAATTCAAGAACGTCTTTGGAAATGCTACCATCTGGTTTCTGGAAGTCATTGCGAGTATCACCATCTGCATTACCCATCAGACCGCATAGCTTTCCGTTGTAAAAAGAGCCAGAGTAGGATACATCTAATTCATGCTTTCTCAGAGTCCAGTTAAAAGTGAATGTCGTGTCCTTCGAAGTGAAGTGCAGTTTATATTTTTCTCTTCTTCCTGGATTGTTATACGTTTTGCGTCTGTCACCATGCCACCTGTACTTCCCTGTAGGATGAATAATTGGCTAGCATATAGTTATGATCACTGAATTTGTGAAAATTCAATTCAATTCAATTCTATTTGCAGCATACATAATGAGAACTTACTGTAGTAACGTCAAGGCCATCAATAATTGCGTATTGATTTCCAACAGTTATGTTGATTGCAATAGTTCGTGTCTTGATTTGGTCTGGGGTACTATCTTCTCTTCGTTCAAACTTGGTTGTGACTTCAAAACGAGGGTTTTCGGTGCAGTCCTTGAACAGATAGTACCAGCCTATGCCTTGGAATGTATATGCACGCCCATCGAATGTCCTCATATGAGGATCACCGATTGGGCCATTAGTAGGACCTAATGAAAACATTCACACGCAGGTTATTTATAATTGTTCTACCTATGTACATAAAACAAACGACTTACAAATGAAAAACACAAGATTGCTCCTATGAAAAGTGTTATATTCAGTCATGTACAGTAAAAAATGTAGTAAATATTTATTTTTGCAAGGTTTATAGTGATGTATGTGACAGTTTAAATAAGTGTTATAGATTGAAAACAATCTGATCAGGATTATGGAATCAAATTTCCGTCCAGCATAAAATGTTCCTCGCCTTTGCTAAATACAATTATGTTGATAAAGATCAAAAATCACACTTACACTCGCAGATTGCATTGCCTCGTGCCAATGAGCAATTAACGTCATTCCATGTGCCATCGAATTTCCTGTCAAATCGAAGTTCATTAACTAAAATAGTATTGTGTAATCCACAACAAATAATCGTACAATCGTTTCCCTTGTAGCTTGATTTTTATACATGGGAATGATTTTGTCGTCAAATGTTTATTCATGAAATTGTGTGTAATACAGATACAATACTCTCTCAAAATATTTGTCTGTATTTTTTTTAACTAATACCGCTCGTGTTTTAGGTGACAATAACTTCACTTACCAGATTTCTGTACAGTCCTCGGTTCCATTTTCATTGTTTGGTTCGTTTGCATCCCAGTTCTCGTAAACAATGGGCGAATTGCTTGAGTCATAAGCAAAGGTATCACTGACAAGTAGATCGGTTATACCAATCCAATTAAAACCTAATAAGACAAAAATAAAATGAAGTAAAAGTAAAACAATTACTTTGATACAATTAAAGAATTCCACAGTTATAATTAATTATCAGTGTTAGTACAGAGCTTGCAAATATACCTGGCACAAATACGTTCATTATCTCGTTCATTTGAGCCAGACTTTTGGGTTCAGCGAGTTTACAAGTAGGCACAGCTTTACATGCATCTCTTGCTTCAAACCAGGTCATTGGTCCTAGCACAACGTGATACTTGGGCAGGCCACCTACACAGCAAACAATAATAATTGTTAACACCATCCCTATATACCAAGTAAGTGATATTTGTTGGCAACTATAAGAAGTACATATTCGGAGTAACTGCTGATACACAGCGTAGATATTTTGATTGGTTATATTTAATTGATTTATGAATATTAATACAAATTGGTACAGTAACAATGATAATATTAAAACCCATTCGAAATCGACATGTAGATAAACACACAATACTATTATTCAGAGAGATAGATGTATTATTATATCTACATATATATATATAATCTCACATGAATACATTTCAATTCAACTTGTATTTCTCTAAAACCGGTAATTGAGTGGTTTTAAATCTTTAAATTGGAGCAAATGAAATGACAACAGATTGAAGCATTGGAAACTTGTATTCTCCAACACCTTGCACATATTGTCGTAAACTGTTAATTGATAAATTAGAATGCGTTTATGATCATTGATATACAAACTTATACGGCACGTTTAGTGTTTCGCTAACAAAGACGAACTACTTACGCTTCTCAACCAATTCCTGAAAGAGCAAGAAAAAGAAAAGAACTAACGTTGTTTTCGATGCATTTGAGACGATGCAAATTCTTACTGAAAGTGTTTTGTGATGAACTTTTGCAATGCCATTCTTGGAAACAGCATTACCTGAACTTCTGGTTGAAAATTTACGAACACAACATTATGACGGAAATTGTAAATAAAACGTGTGTTCGATCAGAACAATGCTATGATGCCTCTAACTAGGAAAATATAATCCCATTTCTTGCATTGCTGTATAAATGTCCCTATTGAGTTTCGAATTATATAATGTTTTGTCGTACATCGTAGACTTTCTGCACAGTCATGATACATGTATTAGAATTTTTTTCTGTTTTTGAAAATGTTGGAATTCAATTCCTCTTTATAGTGCTGTTCCCTTGTATGCCAGCCAAGAATTGCGCTCGCTTTTGTCTATTCGTGTCGAAAGTAGGCGACAATTGTCTACGGTCGTTGATGCTATGATACACAGTTAAATTTAGAGTTGTCTTCAGAACAAATCTAAATGACATTTGTACATTTGATGACACAACTGATAACAGGTATGTAACATAAATTGTATATCATATCATTGTGTGT